GAGCCTCGCACTTGGTTTCTGCTGGTCAGCTCCAGCATCTGAGGTGGTTTCTTGCTCAGCTCTCACCTGTGATAATTAGCACCAATGTGACCATGCAGGCTGCAGATCCTCTTACTCGCTCCCACTAAAGCGACACCTTCCTGAGGGAACACGGGAATTCTGCCGCGAGTCCACTGGTGTGGGTTCCGACCATGTCCGTCATGGGGGAAATGAGGGACAAAATAATACCCCTCTCAGGAAGCCTTAGGTTTTCAGGGCACATCAAGGCAATACCTGAGGATAAACTTACCTTCCAAAGGCAGGCACTAGGGAGGGGAGACCCTTATTGCTTGATAGCTGGGCATTTCTTGTGGTCGAGAAAGGAGAAAGCGTCCTTCAGGGATGTTGGCAAAGCTCAGGATCCGGGCTTGCGATGCAGCACTTCACAGAAACTCTTACATTCCAAATGCTTTCATGGGGACAAGTGTATTTAAAAATTATGTAATCGCGCAGTGTTCTGTCTTCCTGCCGAATTCATCGGTCCTGAACCACATATGTGGGCCTCAGAATTCAGTTGTAAAATTTAACCAGCACCTAATTTTATAGCCACAATTAAAGTTCTATAGATTTTACATATTACAGAGCTTTTGTGGTGAACAGTTGGACCATGATAAATGGTTGGGAATAAATAAATATATGAGAGAATATTAACGTCATCTAGTGTACGCATTGGGTCGTATCTGGATGAGAAATCGTATTCTGAAATACTGACTCATAATACTTATAACTCCTTACTCTTTTGTATTAAAGAGTTGCTTTGGGTTCTATTTTTTGTCATCCGGAAAGTGCATAATCTAAAATAATCTAATTCTGATTTAATTAAGAAATATTTAGTAAGCGCCTAATGTGGGTGCCACGGTCCGCTGGGCATTCTGAAGATGCAAGGGGGTTCAGCTTGCACCCCAGAGGAGCTCATGCGTTGGTTCAGAACTACGTGCAGAGCAGATAACAGGGGCACAGATGCAGGGGTGGAGCAGGGAAGGCAGCCTGGTCAAGGCGGTGCCCTGCTGAGGAACTTGGGAAGGAAAAGGGCGAAGCGGTGGTCAGATCTGGGGAGACCGATCGGTGTGAGTAGGCAGGAAGGTGGGAGGTGACGTCGGGGGGTAGCGCACCTTGAGCCAGGAGGCAGAGGTGAGTGTCAGTGATACACTCCGGGGGACCGTTTTGACTGTCAGTCAAGAAAACCAAACAGGAAATGTGTTACTTTATAGAATCTGGCAGGTTCAAAGGTTGGGTCTGACTCCAGTGATGGATAGACTTAGCACCCGGTCAGAGCCTGGCTTCTCTTCATCCCTCCACTCTGCCTCCCGAGTCGGCTTCCGCTGGGGCCTCATGTGGCCCCAGGAGGTGGGACGGAGCTCGAGGCCCCCCCCTCCCCACGCGGGGCTCACATGGATGTGAACATGCAGTCCCAGCAAGTCTCCTGTGTCCTGTGCACGGGGCGGGGCGCCCACCCTGCCCACCCTGCCCGGCAGCGCAGGTTAGCTCCTGGGCCCCGCCCCCTCGTGGAGATGGGGGCAGGGCCACCCTCCCTGCAGCCTCGGAGAGCCAGGCACGGTCACACTTAGCAAAAGGTGCTACGCAGGACCAGATGAGTAGCAGTGGTTCTGCTGATGTTCCGGCTCATTTTGAATAACAGGAGCTAGACACTGACACTTCTATTGTAAGCGTGCCGTGCGTGTTAGGACAAGGAACTGGACTTCATGAGGGACTCTGCATAAATCAGGCCTGAGGGTGCTGGACCTGTCCGCTTCTGCAGAGTAGACTGGAGTGTGGGTGCTCAGGAGGGAAGTTCTGAGACCTCTGCACCTTCCTGCCTGTCAAGAGCCACGGCCTGCGTGTGGTGTGCGGTGAGCGGTGAGCACCCAGGCAGGGTGCCCAGGACTTGGTCTGCCCACCACAGTGTGCCAGGAAGACAGAGGCAGCGGCAGCCGTGTGCAGGTGGGGTGTGGAGGGACAGCAGTGCCGGGCTCCAGGGGACCCAGGGAAGGAGAAGTCCTTGAAACGAGCCACCGCCCATGCGGCTGGGGCAGAGGGACCAGGAGCCTAGGGCAGAGCGCTGTGGACAGTGACTGCTCCGGAGCATCGTTGAGAGCACGTGGTCAGGAGCCCTAGACATCACTGTGGGGCTTTCGAGAACACCGCAAGGGCGTGGGTGACTAGGGAACTGCCCCTTTGCCCTCAGACCCAGGGCTCCCTAGGAGGCTCCAGGTCCAGAGTGGGACTGTACCCCGTGTGCAGACCCTGAGGGGACCTGAAGCCACCGGTGTGGGAAGGCCTGGTTCTTTGGCCTGTGATGCTGCCTGGGTCAGTGTCCTCTCCCCACTCACTCTGGTTGGGACGGAGAAGGAGTGAGCTTTGGGGTCAGTGGCTCTGTCCCACTCTGGTCCAGTGGCCTGCAGAGCACATGGGCAGAGATCACTGGGTCCAAGCAGAAGTCAGTTCCGTCCACGGCAGCGAGATACGGGGAAGCCTGGGCAGGCAAAGCAGTGGACAGAGGACGCGTCCTAAATTCTCTTCACCTCTTTACGTCTGTAAACCCAGCAGAAACAGCCCTAGTCCCGGACAGGTGGCCATGGCATGATGTTTCCAAGGGTAGCTGGCGAGCCGGTGCCCCTGAAGGCGTGGCGGCCTGTGGGCAGCAGGGTGCCCGGACGGTGCGCCGTGTTAAAGCTGCCAGTCGGGGACACTGGTGGGAACTGCAAAGGGACGGGCAGGGGTCCCGGGAGAGACCAGGACTGTCGTGAGGGGTGAGGGCGGTGCAGGTGGGCCTGGGCACGGGACCCTCCCCGCACGGACTCGGCCCGCCACCAGCTTCTCCATGAACGGGAACATGGTATTTATAGAAAAATGGCCTGTACCGTGGCTGCAGCCAAGGGTGTGACTTGCTGTAGCTGAGTAAGTCATGGGGAAGTGGGGTCACCGTGGAGACGGTGCCAATGCCAATGGGGGGGGGTATCTGAGATAAAGTCTAATGCAAACTTTATCTCATACTAATCTGCACTTAATAAAAATATATACATTGTGAGCGGTGAGAACCCAGACAGGGTGCCCAGGACTTGGGCATATATATATCTCGTACATCACATAGTGAGGGAAGCAAAGCCCCTTCCATTTCTGGGAGTCCTGGCTACGTAGGAAGCTTCTGCACCCCCTCTTCTCCTACAGCAGCTCTGGGAGGACAGGTTAGGCCTGCTCCCCGTCTACCGGGGAATGGAGAGTGGTTTGCACAGGACAGAGCAGAACTCGGGGTCCTGACTGAGCCTGTGCGCTTGTGTTCCCCACGCCAGGGCCTCGGTTCGCCAGGCAGAGTTCAGCCCATGCCAAGGACTGTTTTCTTTCTCAAGAAGGGAGAAATAGAACTATCTTTTATGAGCAAGAAAAGAGTTTATATTACTCTCGCATTAACTACAGAATGGTTTTTATGTAAGTCAGACTAAATACATGTCTGTTCTTTACAAACATTCATCTCTACACAAACAGAACGTTTTCCGTTTGCTTTGAAAGCAAAAGACCATGTGCTGTGACTTTACAGTGTCTTAAATAAAGTTAGGAATTTGAGTTTATGATGCTGAAAATAACATAAAATCAGTGGGTATAAGACCAAGAACTATATAAATGAGGGTCCTTAAAAATTTGACAAGTGGAAGAATGAAACAGACATTTCAACAGACCAGTTATTGAATCATTGTATTAACAATCTAGTGAAACGAGAGTGAATTATTGAAGTTTATCTTCCTAGCCGAGTCTATAAAACCGGGCTCCAGTCTGCGGACGGTTTAAAGCAGCGCTGTTCGGCCTAACGAAGCCACGCCGACGGCTCCCCTCCCGCCTCCCGCCCCTGTTTATGAGTCCGCTCGGGGACTTTGATGGCCCTGCGGGGAGCGGAGCTGGCCCGACGCTGCCCTGCCCGGGATGAGGGACTCCGTTTCACTTTGTTCTCAGAACCAGGCCGGCTATAAATTTATCTCTGTTCTTTGAAGAAGCCAATAGTAAATTTTCAAGAGGAAAAAATGGTGGTATAGATCCCTGTAGAGGAAAAGTCATCTCTTAAAAGCAAAACAACCCCCAGGCTACAGCCTTTGAAAGGGGACTTCCACACAGGATGCCGTCGGCCCTTCAGCTCGTGCCTGCTCCTCTGCCTTCTGCGTGAGCCCTTTCCGCAATGGCCGGGTCCCCCCACACCTTAAATCTGGGGTGAAGTCCTGCCGCTCCCATTCTGATGTCATGATCGCTCCCAGAGCTGTGGGGCCCGTCCTGAGGACCCCTGAGGCTCCCCGGGAGAGAGAGGCAGGCTGGGAGCGCCCAGAGGCCTGCAGCTCAGCTTCCTAAGTGACCACATACGAGGACGACAATGAACCTAGCGAAGTAAAATCCTCGGCAAGGTTTCCCTTTGGTTTCATTGATTCAAAGCAGTTGTCGACGGCAGGCGTTGGCTTCGTTCAGATGAAAACAGTTCTTCCCAGAGCCTCGGCCGACTCCGCATCCGCTGGTAATGAGAGGAGTTAGACGGAGGTGCTCACACAGCTGGATGGGCCGGTGGCTCTGTCTCCATATCTGACAGTGTCATCACCTTCTATCTGGACTATCCCGTTGCCTTGAGCTGAATGTCAGACGCACAGGCCTGGGGTCCCCACTCACCAGGGGTCTCCAGATGGCCGGGGAGCCACCAGAGGTAATAGACGCAGAGTTAGGAGAGGTAGGAGCGGGGCCGGGCAGGGACTGAACCCGCGACATCATCCATCCTGCCTGTGCCTCCTGGTCTCCTGATCAGGTGCTCCTAGGAGCTACCTCTTGGGAAGCTCTCTGCTCCCCAGCAGTGGTAACTGTTGTCAACAAAAGTAAGCCACAGTGGACAGGCGAACTGGGCCAGTATAGTTTCTGACCTCAGGAGTTCCCAAGTTTCTTGTACCCTTTCCCTCAGCCTAATTGTCCTCTTTCTCATTTTATGCCCCTGCTAGACCACCGCTCTTGATAAGGAGAGGCAGGTTTTCCGACGAAGACGCCACCAGGATGTGAGGAGCCGGTACAAGGCGCAGCCAGCCCCGCCCGAACTCAACTCGGAATCCGAAGACTACTCCCCGAGCTCCTCCGAGACTGTCCGCTCCCCCAACTCGCCCTTTTAACAGGCCCTTCCACTCCAAGTCCTAGCTTAACCCTTTGAGACTCTGAGGTTTGTTTTCCAAATTGATGTAAAAGTTTCCTCGGCTCTATCTAACCCTCAGAAACAGGAAGTGTGTTCTCTGGTATCTTTGTAGCAATTTCCCTTTGCCTGATGAGATGATACATTGTTTGTGAAGATGCCAACTTGCTAATAGGGTCCTCAAAGGGTTAAGGCAACTTTTTAAAACTTAAAAGCAATGAATGTTTTCATCAGTCAAGCTAGGATCTGCAGTATGTAATCGACACATGTTAACCCTCTGAGTGCATGGGCGGTGGGACCCCTTGGGGAATTTTTCAAGCCGTTGGATGTGTAGATACGTTTCTTGGTTTGGCTGTAAATCTAGGTGTGTTTTAAGATGCCGAGGTATCCAGACAAGAGAGGCATCTGGAATGATATCTTACTTGTCCTTTTTTGCGGGTTTAGATGATGGCAGACTTGTAACTTAGGCACAAACACCCCTCTTTCTCCTTCACAATCCTATTAAGAAAGGGACTTTTTCCATGAGAGGCATGACTGCCAGCTGCCAAGGGTCCCGCGTCCCACCTGGAGGGAACTGGGTCTGTGGCAAGCAGCCCGACCCACAAAAGAGATGGTGCCCCCCCAAACTGTCTCCTTGTGAAGATGTGCTGATGACGCCCCAGAAATGCTGCTTCCACATCAGCTGCTGCTAGAGCCAGCACAGACCCCGGGTCCCACACTGTCCTGTGTGAGGCGGGGGAGCTGCCGGCTGGCTCGAGACATCTCCAGAAACACGGGAGACAGAGCAATAACGGCAGGTGCTCCGCGGGGCTGCTTTCCCACAGAGCGGACAGCGATCCCGGTCTCTCCTCGCCTGCTTTTCCATGTACTGCCGTTGTCGGCGAGCCATCCAGAGAGCCGCCTGCACACGGGCACGCCGGGGGGCGAGGAGAGGCACAGCGGGGAACAATCCGGAATGTCTGTGAGAGGGGTTGGAGGGAAACAGACCACCAGTAGGATCGTGTCCTGTGCACCTGTGGGCCACCTGCATCTAATCCCCCAGTGAGAACAGGGGAGGGGAACTGGAAGTGACCCCTGAGGATGAAACTTCCGTTCCCTAAGGTGCCCTCTTCATCCACCGCTGTCTTGAGCCATCAGAGGGTCATGTTGTTTTCTCTCTGTGGGCCAGGCCCTGCCACCGAATCTTTCTCCCGAGCCCTGCGTCTCCACTGTGCTTGCGTGGAAGTGTGTGGCATTTCGGGGTGGGGGCCTCCTGTAGGTCTGTCATGCTTAGAGAAGAAGCTGGCCATGGTGTCCGGGAGGCAGGGCCAACTCAGATGTCCCCCTGTGGTTTGCTCAGCTTTGTGAGTCAGGAGACAAGCAACGAAGGCTGTCTCCTAAAATCTGCCTCTCGACGGCTGAACGGCACGTACAGTCTCTGTCTTGAATATACTTCGAGATCAGAAGAAGGTCTTTAACCTTTCCTACGGTTCTTGATTTCCAAATACTCGTTGGTCTTCGATTGCTGCTTTTTACTCTTCAACTCATAGACTATGGACTATATTAATATAGAGTTTAAGGTCATAACATGTCATGATTTTTGCAACATTATTCTCTCAATTGTTTGCTCTTGTACATTGAGGGTCATTTCTCTGTGTTGTCCTGACATGTGAGCAGTAGACTGTTTATTGAGAGATTTCCCCCTTTGAGAGAGTCCCGAAATGATAACACGCAGCCTCACAAAGTAACACGACTCCACCGGGCCTGGGGCGAGGGGAGCGGACGGAGCTCCAGGAAAGGTGTTGGTGTGTAGAAAGATTCCGCGTCAGGGAAGAACCCTGAGCTGGCCGCAGACGATTGCTGTCTCTGGAACTATGAAGCGAAGCACCATCCTCAGTAACAGTGGAGAAGCCGTACGGCTTGGCCTCAACTCTAAATGTGTGACTGAAGAACCTACGGGCAGAGACCTACCTGCGGAAGGTGGTCGCTGTCCTTTCTTTCTTGGAGTTGCTGCTCTCCCGTGGACACTCCACGTCCTGCTGCAGCATCTGACGGACAGAACTCACGGTGCGTGTCTCAGGCCTTTCTCCATCCGAGTCGGGGGCGGTGGACCCTGTGACGCTGGGGGGTTTCCCAGCAGAGAGCGGAGAGCAGCTCAGAGGAACGCAGGGGAGCCCAGCGCATCCTGCAGACCTTGTGACCTGTGCCGAGTAAACAGTGGCATGCGACCTGTCAAGGAGAAATTCTGCGCAATCAGAGGGAGTGCAGTCTTCTCCACACCCAGCGACCAAGCCCCCGGAGGCAGAGACGTGCTCGGAGGGTGGACAGCCCAGCACAAGGCATGCCGATCTCCGTGCCCGATCCAGGCTGCTTGCTTTTGGCCAGTGCTCTCTAACTTTTGTCATGACATTCTTGGGATAGTTCAAGTTTGAAATAATTAAGTGGTGGTGTTCTTTAAGGAATTTCTATAACCAAATTGATCTCTTTTTTTTTTTCCTCACTTCATCATCGGATAAATATGTACCATTATGGCAGTGTGCCTCTGTAATTATCAACTTAATCACTGCCGTGAGTGTGTCCATGTTTTTTTTCTAAGGATTTAATACAGCTCTGACGGTGGTGGCCTGGCGGTTCCTTTGCTGATACATGACCGACCATCTGGTATTTCCAAGGGAGTTGTAGGACTCAGCTTTTCAGTTCAGTAGTAGACTAGTGAAGAAAGCATTTCTCCATCCCTTGCATTGTGTAAATCATTTCCACAGACGAGAACTGTTCCTATTGACGGGCACTTTTTTTTTCCAGCCTTGTAGCAGAAATCATGTTCTTCATCACAATCAATAAATGTGTGATTTGCTCCAAATCATTAGGAGGAAAAGTAAGATTTCCGTCTTGGACAATGTTTATACAGTAGCCTTCATCAAACTTACACATGGTGCATATTAAAACGAGCAGAGAAAAGATTCCAATAAACGACTGGAAACGCTTGGTGTCCTGTATTCCGTGAGGCCTCGTGCATCCTGTCCGCTCACCCCTGGGCTGTGCCTAACAGCCGTCGGGTGCTGCTGGAGAAAGCAACATATACGTGAATGAAGGCTAACACCGCAATCCTTTAGCCTCTGAAGCATATTTTAGTTGGAAAGAAGGGGACAGAAAAATTGGCATAGCTTAGGGGGGGCATGGGGCTAGGGTGTCACCAAGGCTCGCACACATTAAATCACGGAGGTTTACTGGCCAAGGGCACCCCTTAGACAACTCTGTCCCCCGCTCCGCAGTGCGATTGTGCTTGAGGGAAGCTTTCTTGATATTATGTGTTGCCTGCTAGCCCTTCAGTGGGTAAGAATCTGTCAAATTTCCGTGACAAACTACTTTTGCAGGTTTTAAATTTGACCACAAAGAGGTGCCCCAGGCTGGTTTGCTCCAGAGGGCCTGTGCCAGACGGAAGGTTCACTTCCTTCCTTCTCTGCCCAGTTCAAGGTCTGGGCTGTCTTTTCCTTCACTGTAATTTCAGAACTTCGGAAACACCAATATGGTGTTTTAATGTAATTATTCACTGGGATGTCAGTCAAATAAAGGAGTCACCTGGTGCATATTGTAGATAGCGTATCTTTTTTATAATTTGTGAATCGCTAAAATTTTAAATGCTACATGCATTTTCCTTCTGTCCAATCAAAAGGTTTTAAACTTGAAGTTGGTCAGTTCAAAGGTGAGCTTTTCCCGCTGCTGCCTGCTCCGTGCGTTGGGAGTTGGGGAGACTGTCCGACGAACCCTTACTGTGCGCGGGGGCTGGAGGGTCGGGTCTGTGCTTCTCCGCGAGCCGGGGCTTTCTCTACCTAACCGGCTCGTGCCGGGAAGCCACCTCGTCTGTGGGGGAAGACAGTGACCAGAAGCACCTCCACCACTAACTCGAGTGTCCATCCAGATATGAGAAGAGTGTCCATAAACACACTTGAAACTTTTTTGTTTAAAAGCAAGTGAATCAACCAGCGTCGAGGACACCCCCAGACTTGTTCCCCACAGACGAGCGTTCAGAAGGGGCTCGGTGGCGCTTGTCCACCCGTGACAAGTGGGGCCCCAGGGACTGTCGCAGAACCTTTCATTGTAAGTAATCACGTCCTTGAGGTGGGGGTGCGTTTAAGCCAGTCTCTTACTTTGTAATATCTCAGATACGCAGCCACACTGGGCAACATTCAGGGTCTGGAACTAGTGGGAAACAGGAAATTCGGTGTAGTGGCTTCGGGTGCCTCTGGTTAGGGTGGCTTCCTGTCCCTCCACCCCACCGCACCCCCTCCGCTGGGGTGACCACTTCTCAGTGCGGGAGCGTCTGGGCGGCAGGTGTTCCGATCTTGAGGTTCACAGCATCTGGCCCGTGGGGACAAGTGGGCGATCTCGTTTCGTTCTCGTTCCCCGAAGGAAAAAGCAGTCTCTGCGGCTGGACCACATTCCCCAGCATTCTTGTGGGGAACTGACGAGACCCGTCCGTTGCTTCAGTGTAACACTGTACACTTTTGTCTGTGAGATACTTGATTAATTTAAAGTAAATCGTAGTTCTACGAGCCTTCGCTGTGGGTATTAAGAAAAAGTAGGACTTTAAAAGTGATGATCATGATGCTATAATGTCAATTCATTCCAGTCCAATTCAATGTGGTAAGAAAAAGACCTTGAATAGTTCTCCAGGGACAATTTCTCACTTGCCATTGACATTAATCTTTGATGTATTCTCAGAAAAAAATAAAAAGAGATTGAAAACGGTCCAAGGTTAGAGCCATAGCCTCGATAACTTTTTAAAAATTTTATTAGGAAATTAATAATAGCGTTTTTTGTTCTGGCTGAAAGAAAGTTATTAAAGGATTAGTTGAGTGTGAAATTAAATAGTATTTTGCTCATGCATACTAAAAAG